CAACTTGCAGAAGGAGATATACAGCGGTCACAAACGTGTGCACTGTCTGAATTATCAAGCAGTTACTGTTCCGGACGGACTGTGTGCCCACTTCTTTGGACCCATCGAGGGCCGCCGACACGATACGACCATGCTTCGCGAGAGTAGGCTATTGGGCTACTTAGCAAACCATCCCGAGGTGTTTTCGAGGAAAGTCATCTATGGCGATCCAGCGTACGGGGTGTCCGAGCACATGCTGTCCGGGTTCAAAGGCAATGGTCTCAGTACCATGCAACGAGATTTCAACAAGTGGATGAGTCGGGTACGCCAGTCTGTCGAATGGAACTTTAAAGTGATGAAGACCCTGTGGTCTTTTATTACTTTTAAGACTCTGTCAAAGATTAGGTTGTCTCCAGTAGCTAGAGTTGTTTCGGTTGCAATGCTTCTGACCAATTGCCAGTGTTGCTACTTTGGTGGAAACCAAATTAGTAAGTTCTTCGACCTCGAGCCACCAACTCTAGAATCCTCCTTGGATACATTGGAAGTAGTAGTTGTCTAACAAATACAAATTACTCAATCAAATGACTTGATTCAAACATTTATTGAGATTGACCGAGTGTCGACAGTAATTTCATCATCATTTCATGTTGCACTCGCAACTGCTCGTGCTGAAATCGAAGTTGTTCTGCACGCAGCTCTCGCTCGCATCGACGATCCTCGAATTCCTTTTCACGAATAATTTCGCGCTCCTTCAGGTCGCTGTCGTACACACGCATACGGAACTCGAGGTCGGCTTTGCTGTCGTCGTGCATCATCTTCATCATCTTCGTCATGGCGCTCCCACCTCCCGACCGTGCCTCGCCATCGTCCTGTCCCGCCTTTTTACGCTTTCCCAGCGATTTCATGGCCTCGTCGCGGATTGTCGCGGCCATGGCATCCACCCGGTCTGCTTCCTGCTGCACTTCCTCCAGTCGCACCTTCTCTTCGTTTTTCCAGTCGTCAAACGCAGACAATAAGTCGTCCAGGAGCTGGAACTTCTCACCGTAACCCTCGTCGGTGCCAGACGCGCGCTTTCCTTCTTCGTCTTTGTGTCGGTGTCCTTCGAGGAGCAGAGTGAAGCGGTTTTGGGCTCTCTTGCCATCGAAGCCCGGGCGGTCGAATCCGTCTTGGCTTTGAACGGCTTCTGCTACAGCAGACCAGCGCACCATGACCTGTCCACGTTTGGCCATGAAGGGCAGGCGTCCATTGATCTCACGGAGAAGAAGGATGTCATCGTCCTCCGTGAAACGGCGCGCTCTTCGTCGGTGTGGACATGGTGGCAGGTGGCTCGTGCAAATGAATGGTGTAGTGGCGTGGCGTTTATCCCTACACAGAGACAATTCCCGTGCAAAAGCATAAAGTATGGTGAGTTTTACTATTTGATCCCAGAGGTAAGTTCTTGTTTTGTCAAACACGTGGAATTGAAGTGCCGGGGGAGTGGCCGGACGGTTTGCAAAATCTCTCTAATATGAGCAATAGAGAGTTGCGTGACCCGTTGTGCATACTAGTATATTGAAAAATCGCTGAGCCTTTCCCCCGTGTATGCACGCATGCACAGCATGATGTATACTGTTTGGTCGGCCAGCTTAACTATCGAAAAAAGTTCTGACGGGGTTTCGTCGATAATAAAAGGTACTTTTCTCCCGAATCACAGAGTCATCAAGTATGCTGGATAATATTAAGCCCTATTTTCAAATAGGGGTCAATATACTTTACACCAAGATAATTAATATATTTGGTCAAAAATTGAATAGTCAAAATATGCCTTTGAGGGACAATTCAAAGGTGTAAATTATCTGAACCAAACGCGAATGACTATCGTAGGTACAGTACTCACTGGCAGGTGTAACCTACACCTCTCCTCATTATACCGAACTTTTCTACGACGTTCCCGCAGATACTCTCGACTACAGTACATAATTCGATTGTATTTTACACATAATTCGATTGTATTTTACACGAATGCGTTGGGCGATCAATATTTTCCCGGAAACCGTGGGTGTTGGAGCACTTAGCACTTTGAATTTGACTCATATTTTACCAAAAACTGGGTTAACGGGATTTTCTCAATGCAACACTAACGGGGGGATCAAGTCGCGAAATCGACCTAATGGGTTCAAGTCGCTACGCGAAATCGATTTGCAACAGTGGCAAATTCGCATTGGAGACCACAATGACCATGAGTCGCCAGTGGTTAACTAAGCTTATCGCTAACCCCCGGCAATGCCTGGAGAATGAAAATTACACTTCGAAGCATGTAACTTCCAGGGTTCCGAGCTTACTGGCTCTTGGTGGGACACGTCGTTGTGTAAATCCTATTCAATACTAGTACACATCTGGATTGTACTTGCTTGTTATTGAAGTAGTTGGTTCGAGTAACTATAGCGGTGTTTTATGCGTGAAGCGTCATTCATAATCCTGCTAGCATACTAGCAAAGCGGCGTGTCAATTCCTTAACTCAAGTGTACCCATTTATGGTCACTTGCGTAAAACCTTCAAGTTCAAAGATTATTTGTGGCTTGAAGCCACTCTTGATGGCTGCAAATTAGCCGGGGCGAAAATCTGACCTGAACCCCTCCTCAAATCACGAAAACGAGGACATGTGGGACATCATCCACCTAGAAGAGAAGTGGTTCAACGCCGACAAGGTCCGGCACAAAGTGAACTTAGACCGGAGAACAAATGATCCGCTCCGCGTGCAAGCTCATTATACCAAGGTTATGTTTCTTGAGGGACATTTCACGACCACGCTTCGATGAAAGTCTGGATTCCCGTTTTTACCTTGTCGTGCACATTGGGGCGCGGCGCCCCGACTGGCCAACACCTTGACAAACCCGGCTGCAACGGACCCAGGCCACAGGCAGCTCGCCGCGGCCAACCAGAAAAGTTATGTCGGCGGAGAGCCTTCGTGTAGCTACTTACATGCAGGAGCATCCCGACGACGCAGCGGAAATACGGGATGAGCTCAAGTTTTGGAACGAAGTCATGGACGACCAAGTCCCCATGACCAAGGAACGGGCCGAGGCAACGTTGCCATTTCTAACGGCTCTCGAATGCTGTCCGCTGTTTACCAACACGAGCCCAATCATGTTATGTCCTCCGGGGCTGGATCCCCTCGATGTACGCTCATTTCTTACGGCCGAATCATCCTCCCATCTTCACGCGGACCAGGCCTCGGACGAACACAGGCCTGGCCAACCAGCCAACCTGGGTCGACCGGACCTGAATCCTTCCTTCTCATTGATTGGCCCAACCGTGTCCACCTTTCAATTCACTCGTGTTCCCCATCCGTCACTGGCTGCTGTCGCCCACTGACACTGCTTGGACACCTCCGATAAAACCGTCGCCGACTCCAACGGACGATGATGCAAACAAAAGCATACCGATGTGTCCGACCACAGCACCCAAGCCAAACCCACTGGTAGCACGGCACAACCGGTTCACGAACCGGAATACCGCCGACATGACGGCGCATACTGCCATCCAGCCCAAACCCCACCTGTTCCCAATCCGTCACTGGCTGCCGTCACCCAACGACACGGCATGGACATCCCGGCCGAACATGACACCGCCGAAACCGTCGCCGACACCGACGGATGTCCACACGGACTACAGCAAACCAATG